CTAATTTTCATAAAAATAATATTTCAAGTAAAGAACAAATTTTTTAATAAACTTTTTTTATAAAAATTTAAAAAAAACTGAAAATCTTATAAAAAAATAGTTTATACGGTAAATATTTTTGTGTAAGTCGCAAATAGGTGGACAATCTTGTGTAATCACCGTATTGTGTTACGCGGTAAATCAGTGTGCTCCAAGGGAGAATTTTCCGCTTGCAAACAATTTTTACCGTGGAAAAGCTGGCTGTGAACATACAAATATATACKACTMATATGACTCATCCTAAGTGACTTCACTCTCAGCTTTAATTAAAATATTTCATCAATCATACGCTAACATCACGGGCCACGGCTAATATACATGATACATCACATTCATTATAATATGTTCAACTAGAAAATACTATCTTCTAATTTCTCGAAGAACTTAAGTTCGCCATTTACCTATTACTACACTTATAATCAACATCATTCGATGTTTACTATACTTCCATTCCATATTAATAACACCTTTAATTTTTTACCATTTTATTGTTTTTCTCATTTTTATCTATGACTTTTTACGTATTATATACAGGTTTTTTTTTTTATTAGACTCACATAGACAAGGGCTACATATATTTTTAAATAAAGATACCTATTTTATTGAAAATTTTGACCTTTGAACATTTTATTTTCATTACTCTTATGATTTTCAATAATTTGTTTAGTTTCTGGATAAAATGGTGGAAAACTGCAGGTTTTTATCCGCACAGCGAGTCCCCCTCTACGACAAATGGGTATATCATCCCGGGACATTCTGTATATACTAAAATAATGATATGTGATGGGTATACCTATCGTATTTCCACCGTTGCTTGTTTAATTTTTTTTTTTTTGTTTTTTTTTCCACGCCTTTTCTGCAGGCCTTTGTTTACATGTCGTCCGTATTCGCCAACCCCTCGGTTTTGAACGTGTACGAACAATTTTACAATTCCCCGATACCTACGTCTACCGTCATCCAGATGGCCGAAACCTTTCCCGATTACATCCTGAACCGAATGACTTCGGGGTAAGTTCATCATCACACCCATAGACCATGACCAGAATAATATGGTTCTTTTGATGACGTTTCAATCATTATTTTGAAATTTTATTTTTGTTGATTTTAAAAAGAGTCCTTTTTTAATATTAATAAATGTATCGATTACATTTATTTTTAAATATGTTTTATAGTTTTACAATCTAAAGTAGAACATTTTTATGATAATTTTGATTGTGTTGATTATTATACGCGAATACTAAAATAAATATTTTTAAATTTAAAATAGTTGCACTACTACAATACCACGTACCATGACACACAATTTAAAATCACACTGCACAACTATTTTATTTAATCGCCATTTTTTTCTTATTGTATAGGAAATATTTAAATGCTTAAAATTCAAATAAAATAAAAATCGTTTGCTCAATATTCGGTAAGTATATTTGGATATTAGACATCAAAAAAGACCCACATGAAAGTATAATAATAAATAAATTCTGCTTCAAATAATGAAAGTACAAACATATGTATTTTAAAGTATTTAATTATTACTTTGTTAGTAAAAGTTTAACCAAAAAACGTATGAGACTACGTTAAATTAACATGTATTTTGCGTTTTTCTAAAAATATCGTATTGAAATAATATTAATATTGTTAATATAGTTTTTATGAGGTAATCACGATTATTTAGTTATACAAATTCGTACTTTTATTGTTTTATTTTTTATTTTTATTAATTTATAAACGCTTGAGAGTTTAGAGGATATCAAAAAAGTGCATGTAGGTTCACCAAATATTAATACAAAATAAACGAATAAATCAAAAATCTCTTTATATACGACGAATAATATCGTACTATATTATAATATTATAGTCGTATAAAAATAATAATACAAACCATATTATACAAAAATTTTTCACAATAGCTGTTTTCATTACATATAATATGAGCTATATACGTTGTGTTAAATTTCAATATTAACTCTTCTATTATAGACTCGTGTCCGAATGGCCGGACGTGGTTACGTTTACCAAAGCGTTGTCAGAGCAAATCTTTCAGTCTGCAGGACCAGAACTACCAGCATGTGTCATAAGACCAGGGTTTGGTAACGTTTTATATTTTTTGATTATATCTAAAATTGCATACATTAATTTCATGTGTCATTATGTTGTCGGTTGTCCTTGAATTTTCAGATAATTGTTTAATTACCTATGCTAAATCTGGATCTTTAAAACATTATATATATATATATATATATAGGTATTGAAAACTATATAGATATGGATAGAAAACGATTTATTTAGTAACAAAATCAATTAATAAGTTAGATAAGTTATTGGTAGACAAATTGAAATTTATTATTGTAAATAAATGTATTGTTTATACTTAATTCGAAGATCAAATGAAACATCTTTATAAACCTAAACCAGGTCGATGACCTGTGTATTATTGACGTTTTTGCAGAAACGAATAATTTCGTTCGTTATTTTGTATAAAGATTAGTGTCTTAATGTCGCCAAGCTAAGGTAAATTATTAGCAGGCTATTATAACATAATAATGATAATATTACCTATCGTGAGGTTAGGTTCAAAAATAGTTTCAAATACTTACCTATACTAAAATATTAGAACTTTTAACTTTTAAAATTGATTTTTTTTTTATAATTTTTTTTGTCGGGTTATTATTATCCTTGGATCGCTTAAAATTATATAAACAGGCCAACACAGTGTACGATTTATATAGGTACACACACGAGTGGAAGACGTATGACGATGTTGCGACTCTAAATGTAGAATTTCTTGTAAACGCACGTGGATTTCGAATATTATAATAATAATTATATATAACAATATACAGAGGCGGTTTGAATGTATTATACTTAGTGGTGTAAGACAAAATATAGACACCCCCCCCCCACCACCACCATCATAATAGAAATTACAAATAAATATTTTTTAATAAGTTTATAGTTAATAATTATAAGGCCTTTATATTCTTAACTCGACGCTTTCAATAGTTTCAGCCACGATTATCATAATATGTCATTGATTAGGTACTTTATTACTTTTTTCATTTATTGAACATTAAAATTAAACATTGCGGTCAGCACATGCTCAACCAAGACCACCCACCCCCCTAACATTGGCGGTGCAGTGCACCAAAACCAGTATACTCAAACCGCCTCTGACAATATAACAAATTTTTATTATCTTTTACAGTCTTGGGTACTGCAAACGAACCCATAGCTGGTTGGACGAACGATTTGAACAATTTGACCGGTTGTGCTTTGGGTTCCGGTCTCGGACTGGTAAGGGTTTTTCACGGGCCCAGCTACGTTAACGCCGAAATTGTACCCGTCGACATGCTGGTCAATCTTCTTCTGGTGGCATGCTGGGATTTAATTGACAGCAGGTGTGTGCATGTACGTACGCGTGTGTTCGGTTTACGTCAAAAGTCAAATCACGACTTAGTCACTATTTAGAAAAAAAATTGTAGGTCTACCTACAACCTATATTATATGAAATACAAAATAATTTACAGATATACTTGATTTTATGTAGGGTATTTTTGATCGACAAATTTAATGTTCCAAGACTTGACACCTCATTATTATTATTATTAATCGCTCTGATTTTCTTTCACAGGAAATTACCTTCATAATTCATAATATAATTTTGTTATTTTAAAGCAAATGGATAAACTTTATTGGAGGTACCTACATAATTTTTATTTTTATTTATTTACTATCTAATAAACACTGTAAAAGCTTGTAAAATCTATGCTACATACTTTCGAACGGTGTTCACTATATAAAATAGGAGCTGGAATATTGACTGAACTTAAATTAACAATAGCATAAATATAAGATAGATGTATAAATAATTAATATACGCATGATTGACAGGATGGAAGTTGTCAATGAAGAAGTTCCCAAAGACGCAGTAAACACTTTGATTTACAATTACGCTTCGTCTAATTATAAACCGTGTTCTTGGAATCAGTTGGGAGAGATGTTTTTTAAGAACGAAAAAAACGTTTCATCGCCAAATTTTGTAATTATGACACATACTTGATAATTATTATAAATCATTCTGATAAAACATCGATACCAAATCAATAGGCAATATAGCTATTGATTAGATTACACATATTTGCAACAGTCTGTTTTATACGGACATTGTCGTTTTCAGTTTTGGATGCCGTTTTATTATGTCACCAATAGCATATTTATCTATCGGATGATGACGTTTTACTTGCACTCTGTACCGGCGAAAGTTGTCGATTTATTCATTTGGCTTGTAGGAAAAGAACCTAGGTGAGCAGTTCCACATTGATATACGATTGTGTACTTATATACGCTCTTGTTTTCGATCCGTTTAATACCTACGACGCTATTTTTTATTCAGACTGAACGAGTTTTATAAACGAGTGCACGCAGCAGCTAAACACTTGAGTTCGTATCAACAAATACACGTTAGGTACCACAATCACAACGTCATAAGTTTAATGAACAAATTGTCGCCGAGGGACAAAATATTATTTGATTTCGACATGGGCACACTGTCGTGGGACGACTATTTTGATAAGTATCTAAAGGGCCTTCGGGTATATTTGATGGGAAATCCTTTGCACATGCCCGAACCAAAATATAATAACACACTGAACAGGTACCTATGTATATGACGTAAGCTCATCTTTCGTGTAATCATTGACAAATAACAACAATAAACTATGACAGTGGCAAAATTTCAATTCAATGCGAATGAGTCACTGTTAATTATTTTTTATATACTAATCTATTAATATATCATACAATATAGAATAATGATAATATACAGGGTGATTCTTTTAAGTGGGTAAACTAATTATCTCGAGAAGTATTTACTTTTTTCAAAATTTTTTTTTACATGGCTTCATAAGTTGTTAAAAACCAACGTTTTTGTTTTTTAAGTATTTAAAGTTTAGATTGGCAGAGTGGAGTGGTACGGGGTTACCCCGCAAAATGTTTGTCCACTACTCCGTTTGTCCAAACATTAAATACATATAACTCATAAACTACTCGTCCTAAATTCGATTTTTATGAATCAAAATACTTAGAAAAATATT